TCCTAACTCTGCCCCCTGAGCCCCCATTTTCACCAAGTGGCCCTGTATGGCCCCGTCTCCTCCCAAACCCACCCAGTCTCCCGACTCCTTCGGGGAAGGCTATGGTCAGTGTGGGTGCCTGTCTTCCCCTTCCCCCCCCGTAGCCCGAAGCACAGGCTTGTCCCTTCCCTGCCCCTGGCTTCTCCCAAAGCAGAAGGGCTTCGATCCCAGTTGCCCAAAGATGTAGGTCTAGCTGCCCTGAACCCTGTCCCTAGGCCTGTGGGCTCCTCTTCTCCACGTCCCCACCTAGGGACATGTATGTGTTTGTGTGGTGCACGTGTGTGTGCACCCACAATGCCTGTACTGTACGCTTGCTCACAGGCTTGCACGCAGGCACGTGCACCCATGCACACTCCCCTCTGCTTTTTTTAAAAAAGATTTTATTTATTTATTTTTAGAGAGAGAAGAAGGGAGGCAGAAACAGAGGGAGAGAAACATCAAAGTGCGAGAAAAACATCAAAGTGCGAGAAAAACATCAATTGGTTGCCCCTCACAAGTCCCCAGCTGAGAACCTGGCCTGCATCCCAGGCATGTGCCCTGACTGGGAATCGAACCAGCAACCCTTTGGTTCACAGACCAGCGTTCAGTCCACTGAGCCACACCAGTCAGGGCTCCCCTGTGTTTTACAGAGCAGGTTGGGCCCTGGAACTCTCCCTGTCTGGCCCTTCTTCCAGTCCTTTCCTTGGGCTCTTCACAGCCCCTGGCTTGGATCCCAGCATGGAAGGCACTGTATGAGGTTATCCCTACGACAGTCCAGCATTGTCTCAGGCAGAGCACCAGGCTTGCCACTTCCCAGCTCTGTGACCCTGAGCATGTTCCTCAGCTTCTCTCAACCTCTGCCTGCAACAAGGACGGTTATCATCTCCAGATATTGAAAAACTGCCCGCTGTTTGTCAGGCACTGTGCTAGGCTCTGGGGGAGACGACAGCGAGTGTGCCATAGCTCCCTTGCTCGCTGAGCCTACATCCTAGTGAGGCAGGAAGTAAGGAAACAAATAGAAAGGGAGGCTTCAGTTCTGCTAAGTGCTGCTTAGCGGACGGGCTGTTGTGTGGGGGAGTGTGAGCGGGGGCCGGGCGGTCGCAGGAAGCGTCTCTGAGGAGGCAGTGTTGGAGTGGCAGGAGGCAGTCGTTTAAAGACGTAGGGAAAGAGCATTCTAGGCCAAGGGTGCGGCTGGTGCAAAGGCCCTGAGGTGGGAATGAGCTCAGGGAGCAGAAAGAAGGCCACGTGGCTGGCGGGATGGAGGATGGGGAGAGGGCAGTGAACCAGTTCAGGCAGGGCTTTTTAGGCCATGCTGAGGAGACCAGATTCTAACTGAAGGGCCGTGGGAGCTGTCGGAGGGATAGGAGTGAGGGAGCGATGTGATATAACTTGTTTTTACAACTCCCTCCCCGCTGCCTTAGGGGGAGCGGGGAGGGAGACTGGGTTGTCTCCGGAGCAGCTGAGACTCAGAAAGTGGCCGGTTTGGCATTGAGCCCTGGTCCAGCCAGCGGTCCAGTCTCCTAATGGACTCCATTTTGGTTGGTGCAGGAAAGGAGGCTGCTGAGCCCAAGGTCACTCCAAGGGCCGTGGTTTAGCGGGAGCACCTGCTGAGAGCAAGGCTCAATTCGGGTTGAGGGGGAAGGCAGGGGATCTAGCTACTGCCAGACTGTCATTGACAGGCATCTCCTTGGGTTCCTGCCCTGTGGCCCAGCTGTGCCCGCCTCCCCCGGCTTTTGCCAGGAGGGCTGGAGGTAGGCAGGGCCACTGCTTTGCGTGGACTCTTCTGGTTGAAGATTTGAGCCCTTGATCTCTGGGAATGTCTGACAGGGCCCCGGGAAACTGGGGGCTCCCCCTGCACCTCTAGCCCATCCAGGTGCAGGGGGAGGCTACTCTGAGTTGTAGAAACAGCTACTCACTGTGTGTCCTCAGGCAAAGCCTTTCCTGGTTCTGTGCCTTGGTCTCCCCATTTGTCAAATGTGGTGGTCAAAACGGTGGCCTTCCTTTCTCCTTGACCTCTATAGTGTGTTTGTCCTTCCTTGGATCTCAGCTCCCCCAGCACTTATGACCTTCTGTTCTCCCACCAGCCCTGGGGAAGGGTTAATGCCCTCGTCACAGAGATGGGTCCTTCAAGGCCCCGAGGAACAGTGAGTCCCAGAGCCCAGAGTGGTTCAGAGCGAGGACTTGGGACATTGTTTCACACCTCTGCCCTGAAGCCCCCCTTTATGTGCCTGTTGCCTGGGTTCATTAAGAGAGGGGGTTCCTGGTGCAGCTATTTCTAGGCTTAGCTGGGCCGCAGCCCAGGCAGGGACTCTGGGACCCCCGCCCAGAGTGGGGCTCAATGCTGCCCCTTGTCTGCCCAGCCCCAGAAGCTGAGGACACGGCCCAGTGCCGAGTTTTGGCAGAGCCTCCATCCCTCTCCCGTGTCCAGCTGCAGCAGGACATGGCAGGGCAGGTAAGGCTGGAGCCAGCCCGAGAGAGCTGCTGGAAGTTGGGGGGTGATGTAGGCGCCTCCCAAGATGTCCTTCATTTGCCCGTAACCCTGGCTTTGAGGCTGGTGCAGACTGAGCATCAGGTGAAGCCGCTTATGCTCTCAAATCTCAGGCTTCGCTGGGAGCTCTGGGAGAGCCCTGACCAAAGAGGAGGCACCCCGCCCTGCCAGGCTCGGCTTCCCTGCGGCGGTGTGGGAGCTTGAGGCATCCCGATGGAGCGGGGTGAAGCCCTGTGCCCCAGATCCAACGCTCATCCAGGCCCCCGGGCTAGAAAGCAGGCCAGTGGACTAGACCTCAGGCGGCAGGCCCGGAGGCCCCACTCCCCTCTCTTTGCCTCCTCGGTGCTCCCCCGCCCCCAACGAGTCTGGCTGTGAAGAGGACCTGTTCTCTCCCTCCTCTGAGCGCACAGCCCGCGGGAACAGAGTGAAATAGCAACTGAAGCAGCAGGGATTTAGGGCAGGCCAGAAAGAATCGCTCACTCAGGGCCAAGCCCCTTGGGGTCCCCTGTGTCCTAGGATCAGGGCCCAGATATTCTAGAGCTTGGCTCTTCAGACTGTTCTTTTAAATCTATGAAGGTCTTTTTTTTTTTTTTAAAGTAAAATCTATGCTCCCACATTCTTCAAAACTCTAGGGGGTGACACTTAGGGTGAGTGGGCTGGGGCCCCAGACCCCTGTCCTGCCCTCTTCTCTTTCACTTCATGTTTGGCAGCCAAGGTTAAATGAATTTTCGGTGTCCTGTGGTGTCAAAGCTGCCCTCCAGGGCCCGGAAGTAGACTCACTTCCCTCTCCAGGTTCATGTTCTGTAAGTGGGAAGTTTCTCCTGCTGTATCAGTTCCCTGTAGATTCTGGTTAAAGAGGTCTGGGGGCAGGGCCTCGCATTCTTTAATTTAAGTCCCTCAGGTGACACTTATGACCAGGCAATGACAGGCAATATGGGTCTCACTTAAGTCCTGTGACTGTACCTGCAGCTCGTTCTGCTGCAGCCCGGGAGCCTGGCCAGTCCCTCTTCTCCTCCAGCCTCTCCCGAGCCCCTAGAACTCCTCCGGAGGAGAGCGGGGCTGCTGCGGGAAGCTGAGGCCTGAAAAGGGGAGGCAGGAAGGTGTTTGGACGGGCTGGTCTGTGTCCCTGGTGGCAGAGGTCACGGGGGCAGAGCGGGGGCTGGTGGTGAGATTGGGCCAGCCGGGGCGGGGCCGGGGCGCCGGGGCGCCGGGGCATGAGGGGAGAACGCGGACCATCACAGCTGCCCTCCCACCTGGGATTAGGTTGGGCAGGCAGCCTCTGGGAAATGTGGGCTGGTTCCAAATTTAAGGGGACTTGGCAAGTAAAATGGGTTTCCTCATTTTATAGAGGCCCGGAGCAGGGCAGAGGGGAGTGGGCCCGGCCTGAGTGGGGCAGCGAGGAGTCCTGACCTGGGCCCGGAGGGTCACTCAGTGGGTTGGGCAGAGCAGGGCTTTCCCCTTGCACGCTCTCCCCAGAGTGCCCTGTGGCAGCCTCCTCATGAGTCCCGCCTCAGGACGCAGTGAGTTCTGTGGGGCCCAGGTGTGGAGGGGAACCCCAGGCCCCCTTCTCCCTCTAGAGCTGGGACTTTGCAAGCCGGGCAGCAGAGGCAGCCGCATGCTCAGCGAGGCTCCGTGGTGGCGCTGCACCCGCCCAGCACCCTGGACAGCGCCTCATGCTGGGCCTCATGGTGGCTCACTTTGGCTTCTCTGGGGTGGCGTCTGTTCTGACATATCTGCACTTCTGTTGACTTCCTTGCCTCCTCCCTCAACTGCCCCTCTAAAGGCAGCCCCAAGCCCTGGCTGGTGTGGCTCAGTGGATTGAGTGCTGGCTTGCGAACCAAAATGTCGCTGGTTCAATTCCCAGTCAGGGCACATGCCTGGGTTGCGAGCCAGGTCCCCATTTGGGGGTGTGCAAGAGGCAACCGCACATTGATGTTTCTCTCCCTCTTTCTCCCTCCCTTTCTCTAAAAATAAACAAATAGATAAAATCTTAAAAAAAAGTAAAGGCAGCCCTAAGCCCAATTCCCTCCTGCTGTGGAGCCAGGGACAGAGAACATGCAAAGAGCCAAGGAGGCTGGCTACTGTCAGCATGGGGTTTTGTCTCCATCACTCACTGGAGGGAGAGGAAGGGGGATTGGAGGGGTTCCGGATCCTTCCCTAGTCCCTTTCAACCTGAGTCTTCCTCGTCGGGCTTTGGTGAATTCTGGAGAACCAACAGAGACACAGAAGAGGTACCAGGGAAGGCAGGACTGGGGCAGATGGAATGGCAGGGGGTGGGAGGAGAGGAGAGTGGGGCTGGTTTGAGCACTGAGGACACTGAGGACACCATGGCCTGAACAGCCTGAGCCTAGACCCAGACAGGAGGTCCTGAGAAGGACATCTCGGTCATCCTTCTGTCCCCAGGCAGAGTGCCTGGTGCTGGTTCCATTGGGCTTTAGACCCCCCAGCACCTGTTTTGCCTGACTCACCCCTTCATCTCGCCATCTGCCGCCAGGTCTAGTGGAGTCCCAGGAGCAGCCAGCACGGGGTAGAAGCAGCGCCTGCCATGGATGAGGAAAAGCTCCTATCTGGACTGCCTGGGGAAGATGGTGCCACCTGGGACCCCAGCCTGGAGCCTGCGGAGGAACCTGGGGTCCAGAACAGAATGGCAGTCAGTGAGGACCTGAACAGCAGCCACAGCAGCCCAGGGCATGAGATAAGGGGCACCCTGCGGGACACTGAGGAGCCCATGCAGGGCCTGGGCGTGGCCCTCCACGGCCTCAGCCTCGGCCTCTCTCTCACCAATGGCCTAGCCCTGGGGCCAGAATCGGACATTCTTGAAGATTCTACAGAGCCCGGGCCCTGGAGGGCTGGTGGGCCGGCCGAAGACGACGATGGCCGCAGGAGCCTTGGTCCGGACGCTGCGGGCCCTCAGCTAGGGTGAGTCGCGTCTCAGGGTAGGAGCTCGCCACGTCTGACTGCTCCATACTACCTGGCCTGGGCCGAGCCACTTTGTTTCTCTGGTTCTTGTTTTTCTCATCCATAAAATGGGAATTTCGTGTCCCTGTTTTGTCCAGCTTCTTGGTGTTTTGGGAAAAGAGAGCTGTGAGATTTTAAAGGCCAACAGGCCTGTCGTGCCCCTCGTCCCCAGTCCCCAAAATCATCACAGGCTATTTCTATGTATGGCTGGAAGGCCACACTCCCTCCATGCCAGGCTGGACGTTGGAGTTCCAAAATGCCTTGATGTAGGAGGCCATCTGGTCCCTCCTCCACTTTCTGGAGATAAGGATCTCCCAATTCTGCAACTGGCATCAATAGAGTAGGCTTTGTGGGTTAATCCCTGTCAGCTACCCCTGATCTAAGTGCCACCTGGAAGTTCTACCAGGAATCTTACTTCAGTCCTCCTTGCTGGAGTTACAGCCCCTCTCCTATTATTGTTAGCAGGAGGTAGAGAGACCTGGTATCTTGGAGATGCCAGTTGTATGAGGAGGGTGGGGATGGGCCAGGGGAATGTCTAGAAGACCCCAAGTGGGTGGCGAAAAGGCGGTATTGAAGTCTCAGTGCGAGAGTGTGTGCATGGAGAGCATGCGTGCACCTGGCCTGTGTGTTGGTACATGTGCACGGCTGTATATACAGGAGTATGTGTGGTTGTGGGTGGGCGGTGTTCGGGTGTGCTTGGCCTGTGCATGTGTGGGTGCACATTTGGGCTTGCACGTGGGCGTGTAGGGCTGAGTGTGCCTAGGGCTCCGCGGGTGGGAGTATGGTTCACAGGGCCAGTTGCCTGTGTGTACTGGGTATGCCGTGGCCATAAGAGCATTTCCATCCAGTCAGGGCCTGGGGCATCGGCTGGCTGGCAGTGCGGCGCAGCCTGGGTCTGGGGCTTCTGGGAGCACGCTGTTTGCATTTAGGCCTCACATTTATGCTGGGTGAATGAAGGCGAGAGCCCATGGAGGTTCGGAGGTTGGGCTGATGGTCTTCAGGCCCTGCCGGAACCATCCCTCAGTTCTGTTCAGGCGCATGAGAGGACAGCAGAGGGCGGGTAGAGGGAACCATCCATGGCTCTGATGTAAAGTGAGCGGCCGCAAGGCAGGCCCTGTGTACTGTTGCTCAGGGGTCTGCAGGACCCAGTGCAGGCCTGGCGGAGGTGCTTTGCTGGGCAGGTTTTGGTGTCTGCTCTCTGACCCTTCTCTTCCCTCCCTTCCTACTGGAGGTCAATATGAGGCCACTCCACCCCTGTCCCTTGCCAGGCATCCTGCCACCTTTTAGATTTCTGCCCACTTCCCCAGTTCTTTCTCTGGCCCCTCAAAGCCTTAATGAGGCTGCAGTCTAAGCTCCGGCGGTACCTGGGGTGAAAGACAGCTTTCCTCGCCCTCAGCTCAGTATGTTTCTCCAGGGAACACACTGCGACCAGCTCTTAGACGCTGGGTGGTCCGACGAAGTGTCTGAGGGGAAAGAGCGCTTCCCGGTCCCCCGGGTACTGCTCCGCTTCCACCAGACAGCAGGGGCTGAGGCAGGTGCTGGGCCTAGCCAGGGTCTCCTGGGGAGAGCGGGGTGCACTGCTTTGCAAACGATGGGCTGTGATTTATCAGAAATGGGCCGGGTTCAGGGTGCTTCTTTCTTTGGGTCTCTTCTTGCCGTCTCCATGTTTCCATCTGTATTTGTCTCTCTTCAGCTGTTACTCTCTGACGCTCCTACTCTGTCTCCCTGTCTTTGTTTCTCATGCTCTCTGTGTCTAATCTCCCTTTCTCTCCTCTTGTCTCTATTTTTGTCTTTTTCTTGCTTCTTTCTCTGGGTCTTGCTCTCCTTTGGTCTCTCTCCTCTTCCTTTTCTGACCTCCCTGCTCACCTGAGCATTTCCCCGGATGCCTCGGTTCGCCTGCATGCGATGCTTTGTTCTAGGTGCTGGAGATACATTAGTGAGCAGAACATACAAAAGTTTCTACTGTCATGGAGCTTATGGTCTAGTGGGGAGACAGATAATAAATCATAAACTAATAAATTATTGTATTAAAGTATGTCAGAAAGGGGTACGTGCTTTGGAAACATGAAGTAGGAAAAGGGGGCAGGACGTTTGGGGGTAGGTCCCAGTTATAAATGGGGTGGTCAGGGCAGGCCTCATTGAGAAAGAAGTGAGAACGGAGGCTTTGGCCTGAGGGCAGAGCACTCTGGGCAGAGGGAGCAGCCGGCACAAAGGCCTCTCCCGGGGCAGGACAGGGCAGTGGGCTGTGGGGCTCAGGCAGCCGCTCACTCACCCAGCGCCCCATGCAGCAAGGTTTGCCGAGTGCCCACTGGGTGCTGGGTACGTCTGGCCTTGTGTGTGGGGAGCTGGATGGGGCTGTGGCACAGACGGTAAATAGGGGAACAGCCAGAAGATGATATTTTGCTTGGGGCCAGGAGGACGCGACAAGCTCCCCGGGAGGGGGGGAAGAAAGAGGAGAAAGGGCCAGTGTGGTGGGTGGTGTGGACCTGCCTCCCTCAGTCTCTCTGAGGACCGGGCACTAAGGCAAAGCCTGGGAGCTGGAATGCGGGTGGCCAGGCTAAGACCCTCCCAGACTGGAAGGACAGCAAAATCATGACCCGCTCTGGCTTATGTTGTGATGGGGGAGCAGCCCCGTGGGCCAGGCTGGAGGAGGAGGACTCACACCCATTCACCGATGCCTGCCATGGACTAGGCATGGGCGGGCACAGTGGGGGCGGGCCACGCCTGTCCTTCTCACTGCTGTGCCCTCGTAACCGGTCAGCATCGGGTAGTATCAACTGGGACAATAAACAAGACACAATCCGTGCCCACTCCCCATCCCCAGGGAGCTCCGAGGCACAGACTGGGGTGGTCCGAGCGCCTGTAAGGGGGGCCCCCTGGCAGGATGCTGACTGGCCCTTGCATCCTGCAGGCTGGATGGTCCTGGAGAGCCAGATATACGGGACGGCTTCAGCGCCACGTTTGAGAAGATTGTGGAGTCGGAGCTGCTGCGGGGCACCCAGTACAGCAGCCTGGACTCCCTAGACGTGTTGAGCCTCACGGACGAAAGTGACAGCTGCGTCAGCTTTGAGGCTCCCCTCACACCCCTCATCCAGCAGCGGGCCCGTGACAGCCCTGAGCCAGGGACTTCCTTGGGCATTGGGGACGTGGGGTCCGAGGGGGACCTGGGAGCAGCTGGCGGTGACGGGGAGCTGGGCAGCCCCCTGCGGCGATCCATCTCCAGTAGCCGCTCGGAGAACACCCTGAGCCGCCTGTCTCTCACGGCCGTGCCCAATGGCTTCCATGAAGACGGACCCCAGGGCCCCGGCGGGGAGGAGGAGGAGGAGGAGGAGGAGGAGGATACGGACAAGTTGCTGAGCTCAACCAGGTGAGGCCGGGCCCAGGCAGGGAGCCGGGAGAACCGTTGAGCAGATGGGGAAACAGACCCAGAGGAGGCAAAGCAACCTAGTGCCCAGAGTGAACGGCCATCTCCAAGGTCATCGTGTCCTTCCTATGCACCCAGACTTCCCACCCGAGTCCTGAGGGTCCATGCTACCCTTCCCAGGCTGTCTAGCCCGGTGGGGCCAGGGAGCTCTGCTGTGGGTTTGGGGAGCAGCTAATGATCTCACTTGAGGGGCTCGATCCCCTCCTGCTGCAGTGGAGCATCCCTTCCTGCTCTGGCCTGTGTGGGTTCTCAGGAGCCTGGGGAGACCTCCCAGCCCCTTCCCAGGGCCTCTGACCCAGGGCCTCTGAGCCCCCCCCACCTCCACCCCACCCTCCCTTTGCAGTGACCCCAGCCTAAAGGATGGCCTGTCTGACTCGGACTCAGAGCTGAGCAGCTCGGAGGGGCTGGAGCCTGGCAGCACGGATGCGCTGGCCAACGGGTGCCAGGGGGTCAGCGAAGCTGCTCGCCGGCTGGCTCGCCGCCTCTACCACCTCGAGGGCTTCCAGCGCTGTGACGTCGCCCGGCAGCTGGGAAAGAAGTGAGTCTTGTCCCCCATACCATCCCAGGCAAACCTGGTGTCTTTCCTAGCCTGAAAGGTGTGTAGGTGACTCTATTAGGGGTGCCTGGTGCCCAGGGGGCCCCTAGCAGTCCCTAAGAGCTCCTCTGTCTGCCACTGTCCTCATTCCTGGCCTTGCCCTAAATCTGTTTCCTTTCTGGGCTGCCTGGGTGAGGGCCCACGTTCTCAGGGAGGGGGGTGGTGGCAGAGAGGCCCCTTGGGGCTAGGGGACCGGGACAGAAGCAGGCCTAGCTCACAAGGCTAATGGGGACTGGCCAGGCCCTAGACCCCCAAGTGTGAGCTAACTGGGGGCTTAGGCCACAGGGAGGCACTAAGGTTGGCACTGCTCCTGGATCTCTCACTTCTCCCAGCTTCCTCCACCTTCCGCAGCCTCCGCCTGGCTGCCGCCCTTGTCCTCCTGGCCCCGGCTCAGGAATCGCAACTTCCTGCTGGGCTGTGACCCCCCAACCCAAGGACGCCCTTCCGAAGTGTTCATAATGGTTGATACCCATCCTCCCTTATCCTTCCCCTCCCTCTATACGAGTTTTCCCACAGGCATGTAATTGTGCTCAATTGGTTTTCCTCTTCCTGCCTCTTTAGGCCCAAATCCTCAGGATTTTGTGCCCTGGGAGGCCCCTGCCCTCTCCCATCCTCCACATTCAGCCCAGAGCTGACTTCCTCCCCACCCTATCCCTTCAGAAGCCCCCGCCCCGCCCTGCCCTGCCCAGATCAGTCGCAGCCTGGGTCTCGAATCTGGTGGCCACTACTGGACCTCACCTTCAACGGTGTTGACGTGCCGGCAACGCCTTTCTTTTTCTCTAATTAAGCTTTTTATTATGAAAGTTTCAAACATACAGAAAAGCAGAGAAAATATATTCAACCTTCACATACTTGTTACTCAGATTCAAAGTTATCAATCATTTTTATGCTTGTTTCTTCTACTCCCCCTACAGTGCCCTGCCATTTGCCAGAATATTTTAAAGCTTACGACCGGGCCGGTGTGGCCAGGGGCGGGCAGGTCTGGGTGGGTGGGTCAGGGTGCCAGGGTACCATTGACTATGTGGCCCCATTGTTTGCTGTGCCATGCTTCTCATGGACACCCCATGCTCTTGTGGCAGCAACGAGTTCAGCAGGCTGGTGGCCGGGGAGTACCTCAGCTTCTTCGACTTCTCGGGCCTGTCTTTGGACAGAGCGCTCAGGTCAGTGGGGCTGGGATGGGGCGCTGCCCACAGGCGGTACAGGCTGCGCATCTGGATTCTCATGCCGGCCCGATCATAAAATTGCTGTGCAACCTGGGGCCAGTCTCTCGGCTGCTCTGAGGGAGGCTGGGGAGGGGGCCATCTGAGCAGCAGCCTTCCAGCGACTCAGTGAGTGCCCGCTGTGCTGGGGACGCTGAGGCCTGTGAAGGAGGAGGCATTGCCTCGTGAGCCTTTCAGAGAGGAAAGAAGGCCACGCGCCACCCCGCCCCTGCTTCCGACTTTCCCACAGTTGTTGAGGGAGGTTTGCTCTCAGGTCCCACTGTCAGGTGCTTGGACGCAGGGAGGAGCCCTCAGAGGGGCCCAGAGGGGAGGATGCAGCCCAGGGTCTGGCAGACCCAGCGGCCGAGCCAGCAGGGTGACACCAGGCCAGGGTGACACGAGAGCCCTCAGGGAGGGACCGTGGTCTCTGAGCTAAGGGCTGGGTGGTCTTTGGATTTTAGAGCTTCTCCTTGTGTCCCACGTGTCTCCTATACTTTTGAAAAAAATGTATTTTCCATCCTTCTTTCTCTGCTCAGTTGGGCTATTTTCTATTGTCCTGCTTAGAGTTCTCTTACCCTTTTCCCGTCTCCAACAGGGTGCTAAACCCATTTATTGAGTTACTTTCTATTATATTTTTCAGTTCTAGAATTATCATGTTATTAAAAAACATTTCTTACAGATTCTAATTCTCTGGGGAATTTCCCCTGTCTCATTCGGTTTCTCCACTTCCCCTCTTTTTTTCTTGACATATTAGTCGTGATTATTTCAAAGTCCTTGTCTGCTCATCCCAATGTCTGTATCATCTGTGCCTGTTTCTATTGTCTATTTTTTCCTTTTGACCCCATCAGAAGGGTCTCTTCATATGCTTAGTAATGTTTTAATTAGATGCTGTACATTTTATATAGAATTATAGCAGCTCTAGAATATTCTATGTACCTTTAGAGAGGGCTGCCCTCTCCTTTGCTAGGCAGTTAAGGGAGGCAGGGGGTGCGGTCCTAATCCAACCAAGGCCGAGCTGAGGATGGGGTCAGGGCTCACCCCACCCCCGGGGGGAGGTCCCATCTGGCTTTCCACAGGGAGTCTGGCGTGTTCACGGGGGCCTCCCCTTTAGGTGGGCTGCGAAGCCAATTTTGTCTCCTCACTATGGCAAGGCTGTCCAAAAACCAAATCCCTCTGCTTCTCAGAGGCTTTCTGCTCAGCTTTTGATGTCCTGCCCCATTCATTCCAGACTTTGGCGAATCTCTCAGAGGAAAACTGGCTGTGTGTTTGTAGCTCCTCGAGTCTCTGCATTTGTCCCTTTGGCTCTGTGAAGCCACCAAACACTCTGCCTCTTGCCTGTGCCCATAATCACCAGCCCACCTCTCCTCTCCAGAATATGGGCCCTTTTGCTCTTTGTCTTTGCCATGTTAGCAGTTTTCTCATAGCTTAAGAGAGATGTACTCTGTCAGGATTTTCCCATGATCCTCCGTGGACACGTTGGTCTGCGGCAAGCTGCGCTAGCCTGAGCCGAGGCTGAAGTTTGCACAGGAGCGAGGAGGACTGGTTGGTGCATCAGCTCATGATCAGGGACTGGGCTGTGGGCTGCAGGACCTTGTATGTCAGCCCAGCGGATTGAGGCACTGAGGAGCCAGGAAAAAATCAGGATTTGGGAGGCAGAGTTGATAGCGGCAGGCTGGCAGCTTTTGATCCGGAGGGGTCAGGCTTCTGAAGAGGGCTGGGTGGGAGCAGACAAGGCCCGGGTTTGGTGGTTTGGTGGCAGTTGTGCTGGATTGGGGTGTGGCGGAGACCCCCATGGGAGGGGTGTGTGGCTGAGAGGAGGAGCTGGGGTGGATTTTAGAAAGTCCCGGTGTGAGAAGAGGGTGGGGACAGAGCACTGGGGGTCAGCTTAGGGGGAGAGGAAGAAAACTAGGCAGCAGATGGAGTGTTTTTGTACAGCAGTTGATTGATTGAGAGTGAACTGTGGTCAGCAGTTTTGGATGCCTCGCGAAGCCTCAGAGGGTGAGGGCTGGCCAAGACGGGGCTCGCAGGTCCCAGTTTGCCTGAGGAGCAGCACAAGAGAGGATAAAGCAAAGTGGGCATCACAGAAGCTGAGGGAACCATTGCAAACTTGGGAACAAATCAGCTTCATGAACCAGGACAGACAGAGACCCAAGCTGTCTGGGCTTGCAGTTTCCCCCAGGTGAGGGACCGGCCTCTTCTTCCAGCCCCTCTGGTTTGGGGATCAGCTGCCAGGGCTCCTGGGAGCCAGTGACCTTTGAACTGAGTCTTGGGAGGGATTCAGAGCTGCCAAGCAGAGGAGGGAAGGCCTTCTAGGCGGGGCCCAGCCTGCTCAGGGGCCCCAGGCAGTGAAAGTGCCTGTCCTGTCCAGGGTGGGGAGGCAGCAGGCGGGTACGAGGTTGAGGGGACAGGAGGGAGGCGAGGTGGTCAGGAAGGCCAGCATGTGAGGAGCTTGGATGTTGTTCTGAGGACTCTGGGGAGCCAGTGACAAATCCTAAGCAAGGGCGAGCCTTGACTGCATGTGTGTTAGAAAGACCACCTGGTGGCTGCAGGGAGGGTGTGCGGGCAGCGCAGGGCTGAGGAGCTGTCCTGGGGGCCCGGGGCGCCTCCCTGGGCTTGGATGCGGGGGCACGAGAGCATTGGCCCCTCCAACAGGCGTATTGTGTATGTTTACATGTGTGCATGTGCGCATGTGTGTAGCGGAAGACCCAGGCTGACTCAGGGGCTCTGGGAGACCCTCAGCATCCCTGAATTGCCCTTCAGAACCTTCCTGAAGGCCTTCCCGCTGATGGGGGAGACGCAGGAGCGAGAGCGGGTCCTTACTCACTTCTCCCGCCGGTACTGCCAGTGCAACCCTGACGACAGCACCTCAGAAGGTATGGCCGCCCGCCCCGCCCCACCCCACCCCGCCCAGCCCCGCTCCGCCCCTCCTGGTGAGGCCCTGGCTTCTTCCTGCCCCTGGCCCATCTGCCATGCTGTCCTGTTCAATAACATTGGGTGAATAAACTATGGGACACGGAATGGGCGCTGCCTGCTGGGCAAAAGCCCTGCAAACCTCTTGCCTATTGTTCCCCAGGCCAGAAATCCCTCTGCCCGAGAGAGTCAGTCCTTTGCATCTCCATTCTCCCTGGTCACCTGTTGCAATGCTGATCCTCGGTGTGGTGGGCGTCCTGATGGGGGGGTCTGGTTTGGAGCCCTCTCAGTGTGGGGGGGCCCGCCGTAAGGAGGGACCTGTGTTCCAGAAACTGGGGGAATAGGCCAGTTATTGGAAGCGACGCAGGCCATGGCAGGGACATGGCTCAGGAACTGGAGCCATCCCTGGGTCTGAGGTTCAAGGTGAGCTTGGCCACGGGAGGCAGGAGTTTGGGCTGGAGCAGGCCCAGGGGGTCAGGTCTCCTTTGAGGAAGGGGATGTCCCTGACCTTGGGCAGGCACGTGACTCCAGTGCTGCAGTGGGGGCAGGGCAGGGAGCATCAGGCAGGCCCTGGACCCAGAGGTGCGTTGGGCGGGCGGCTGGCCCCTTCCAGTCTCTAGGATCTTCAGGCTGGCTCTGTCGGGAGACAGGAAGGTGGCTGGGGGAGGGAACGAGCCGGTCCTCACACTGAGGGCACCACCATCTCTGATTCAGATGGCGTCCACACGCTCACCTGTGCCCTGATGCTGCTCAACACGGACCTGCACGGACATGTGAGTTGGGGAGGTCGGGAGGGGGGAGTGTGGTCTCACTGACTCGCCTGGCTGTCCAGGGGCCAGCCCCTTCTCCGGCCCCGCCCCGAGAGCTGCTTCCCGCTCACGCCTCTTTCGCTGGGCAGCGTGGCGTGTAGACTGGCCCTGCTGCAGTTTATGCACCTGAGACGTGCCTCGGTCCCTGCTCAGGCGGAGCAGGGAGAACAGCTGAGGCAGGCAGGAATTTGGGGCATGCTAAATGAGACATGTGACCCGGCCATGTCCAGGACAGCCATGGCTGAAAGATCACGTGCTCTTCCCACCCCTTGTCCTGCAAGCCTGAATGTGGCCCCGCTGAAGTGCCTGCCCTTGTGGCCCCAGGCAGCCCCTACCAAGCAAACGGCAGTTTTCCTCCAGGGGCATTCTTGTCGCCCTGCCCCCCACCAGGCAAATGGTGAAGTGACAGGTGGGTTCCCGGGTGGGCTGTGAGGCTGTGTCCGGTCCGGGCCTTGGGCTGTCACAATGCTGCTCTGACTCAATAACTCCTTTTTCCTCCGTCTGCTCCGGGGACCCCTCTTTGGGCTCTCTTGCCCTCCCTCAGGTGGTAAGTGCAGCTGCTGGTGTGCATGTCCTGTGAGCCTGGACTCCCATCTCCATGTTTCCCGTCCATGTGCCCCACCGCTGTGTCTGGCCCCACCAATCACTGCCCTGTCATTGCTCACCCAGGGGTGGTCGAGTCCCCTGTTGGGTTGGGTGTATTGTAGTGACTTATGGGGACAACAGGCCATCATGTCTGGTTCCAGAGTTAACCCAGAAAGTCCAGGGCATGTAGGGTGGAAGAAAGAACTGGGACAGACCCGACTTCCGATCCTCCTCTTGCCTCCCTGCGGTAGCTCTGTGAGCCAGGACAGGATACTGGCCCTCTCTGGTCTCAGGTTCCGCTTCTGTGAGGGGGTGGCAGCAATGATTTTGCCCACATCATCCTGGGAGGGCCGAGAGCTCATGTCCACAACACCATGTGTTAAGGTCTGGCACCTGGTACGGATTTAACTATGAATAATATTGTGTGAGAATAACGATAGTATTTGCTATTGTTATTAACATCTAATGGTGGAGACCCCAAAGGCCAGCCTGCAGGTCCTTGCAGGGTCAAGAATGCAAAGGCCACAGTCTCACTTATGGGAGCCTGCGTGGGCAAGGGCACGCTGGAGCGCGTGGCCTGGGGACGTGAGAGCCTTGGCGACCTCGGTAGGAAGAGGAGTTGTGTGACAACTTGGGTTAGGTCCGCCTGTACCCACGGCCTGAGTGTGGATAGGAGGGAAGATGTGTGCATTCAATGCGCATGCCTCCAGAGCTAACACCCATTAACGAACTAATGTTCCCCAAAGACCGGCTGGCTCTGTTTGTCTATGGAGAGCAGGTGTTGCCAGCGCACCTTAAAAGGATCATTAACCATGCCCCGCCTAACCATGGCAGGACCTGAGAGCCACTTCAGACCGGTCACTGCTGCGCTGCGCCCTGGATGCCCCTCTCTATGGCCAAGGGCTGCTAAGGAGGGCAGCAGCCGCTATTCCTGGGTCAATAATATCCCTGAGCTTGGTGGGCTTTGCTGCCCATGGCCCCACCTTAATGCCCTCAAGCTGAAGAGCAACATCGACACAGTCATAGATCAGAGGCAGGCGGGGCAGAGTTGTTCATATTAGCAGTCATGAGACGCTGAGGATCCTGCCTTTCTCTGGAGGCAGTATCGCTCAACGCAATCAGAGGCAGGGGTTGCAGGCTCGTCCACACGATAGCTGTGTGGCCTGGGGCAAGCTACTGAACTCACGAAGCCTCAGTTTCCCCCACTGTAAAGTCTGTGTGAGGCTTAAGGAGACAGTGCTAGTAAAGCCTTCAGCCCAGGGCCTGGTTGCTGCCATTACTATGAGTTCTCCAAAGGACCCTATGGAAGCAGGGTCCTCTGCTTTGTGCTCTCCCGCTCTCTTCCTCGCCTCACGGCCGCTCCTCCAACACCTTGGGGTGCGTTTGGGGCCAGGCCGGCCATAACTTTCTGCTGGGATGCAGGCTGTGGGCAGGTCTGAGGGGCAAGGGCAGGCTAGGGGGCCCTGTTGATCCAAATGCGGTGGGGGGAGGCGATGGGAGCTTGGAGGTCCCAAGTCATCTCTTTCCCTTTGGCTTTGTCCTTTTTTTTTTCTCTTTTCTTTTCTGGGTACATGTCTTTTTGCCTGGTTGTTACTGCTATTAGTTTTTAAGTCAGGTAACTTACCCGCTATGATTTCACTTTTTCATAATTTGTTGTCTTACTTTTCTGTCCAGAGAGAAATCAGTTTTAGTAGCTGTTTCGTGCGGACTGGAAAGGAAAGCGCATTCTGCCGCTGTTAGTTGTAATGTCCTGTGTGCGTCAATAAGGTCAAGGCTTTTAACTGTGTTGCAACAACCTTGTATCTCCTTAGTGATTTTTTTTATTGTGGTAAAATAGACATAACATAAAATTTACCATTTTGACCATTTTAAAGTATACAATTCAGTGGAATTAAGCACGTTCACATGATGTACAACTGTCACTATTCTCTGGGTCCAGACCTTTCATCGCCCCAAAAGGAAGCCTGCACCCGTCAGCAGTTGCTCCCTGTTCTCTCCTCCCTCCGGCCCCTGGAGACCACTCATCTGCTCTCTGTCTCTACGGATTTGCCTAGCCTGGGTATCTCATGTAAATGGAATCATACAATATGTAGTCTTTTGTGTCTGACTTCTTTTGGTTAGCATAATGTTTTCAAGGTTTTATGAAAAAGTTCTGGAGATTATTTGCACAATGATGTGAATAGCCTAACACTACTGAACAATATACTTAAAAATGGTTAAAATGGTAAATTCTAAACATTTTTTTATAGCATGGATTGGCAGTTCATTCCTTTTTTATGGCTGAGTAATAGTCCACTGCAAGGATGTACCATGTTTTGTTTATCCAGTCATCTGTTGCTGGATATGTGGGTTTCTACCTTTTGGTTATTGTGAATAGTGTTATGAACATTTATGTACATTTTTTTGTTTATACATCTGTTTTTAATTCCTAGGAGTACATTAGCTTTGCCAAAGTGTAATTTTATGTTTAACTTTTGGATGCATGGTGGAACTGTTTTCCATGGTGGCTGAACCATTTTAAATGGCCACCAGCAATGCATGAGAGTTTCAGCTTCCCTGTATCCTCACCAACACTTATTCCTCCCCATCCCCTGCACACTTTAAAGAATGATTGCTGTCCTAGTGGGTAGGTTTTGGTTTTGATTCTCATTTTCCTAATGACTAATGATGCCGATGTTGAGCATTTTTTTTTTTATGTGCTGGTTGGCAATTTGTATAGCTTCTTTGGAGCAATGTCTATTCAAAGCCTTTGCCTATCTATTTGATTTTTAAAATTTTATTTTGAAAATTGTGGTAAAAACACCCATAACATAAAACTTTACCTTTTTAAGTGTATAACTCAGTAGTGTTAAGGCTATTTATGTTGTTGTGCAAACAATCTCCAGAACTTTTTCATATTTCCTGAGCTGAAACTCTATATTCATGTTATTTTTCACTTTTTGAGAAACAGCCATACTGTTTTCCAGTGATTGAACTATATTACATTCCCACTGGCAATGCACAAGGATTCCAATTTCTTCATATCCTCACCAAGTTGCTACTTTTCTGCATTTTGATAGTAGCCATCCTAAATGGTGTGAAGTATTATCTTATTGTGGTTTTGATCTGCATTTCCTTAATGATTAGTGATGTTGAACATCTTTTCATATGTTTGTTGATCATTTATGTATCTTCTTTGGACAAATGTCTATTCAAGTCTTGTGTCCATTTTTAATTGGGTTGTTAGTCTTTTTTTTCTGTTGAGTTGTAAGTGTTCTTTATATATTTTGGTTTTGCAATTTTTTCCTTATTCTGTAGATTGTCTTTTTACTCTCTTGATAGTGTCTTTTAAAGAAAATTTTACTTATTTATTTTTAGAGAGTGGGGAATGGAGAGAGAAAGAATGGGAGAGAAACATTAATGTATGAGAAGGTTGCCTCTCGCATGCTCCCAACAGGAGACCTGGTTTGCAACCCAGGCATGTGCCTTGACTGGGAATCTAACTGGTGACCCTTCAGTTCTCAGGCTGGCGCTCATTCCACTGAACCACACCAGCCAGGGCTAACTGTGTGTTTTGATACAGAAAAGTTTTAGATTTTTATGAGGTTCCATTTATCAGTTTTTTCTTTTGTTGCTTGATTTTGGTGACATGTTTAAGAAACCATCGCTAAATCCAGGTCATGAAGATGTATCCCTATGTCTTGTAAGAGTTTTATAGATTTAGCTCTTATGTTTAGATCTTTGATCCATTTAGAGTTAATTTTTGTATATAGTGTGTGGTAAGTGTCCTACTTCATTCTTTTGTTTGTGAACATCCAGTTGTCCCATCACCATTTGTTGAAGAGGCTATTGTTTCCCCATTGGACTGTCTTGCCACACTTGTCAATTTCAACACAGAAATGGGTTTATTTATGAACTCTTAATTCTATTCTATTGATCTGTATGTCGATTGTTATCCCATTGCCCCTCTGTTTTGATCACTCTAGCTTTGCAGTAAGTTTTAAAATCAGAAAGTGTGAGTCTTCCAACTTTGCTCTTTTCCAAGATTATTTTGAGATCACTTGCAATTCCATATGAGTTTGAGGATAAGCTTTTTTATTTCTGCAAATATAAAAAGGTCATTGGAATCTTGATAGAGATTGCATTAAATCTGTAGGTCAGTTTGGGGAGTTTTACTGTCTTAATTACATGAAGTCTTCCAATCCATGATTACAAGTTGTGTTTCTATTTATTCAGATCTTTAATTTCATTCAGGAATTATTTGTAGTTTTCAGTGTACAAGTCTTTCACTTCATAGTTAAATGTATCCTTAAGTATTTTATTCTTTTTGGTGCTATTGTATATGGAATTGTTTTCTTTCACTTGGCGATAGTTCCTTACTAACATATAGAGATACAATTAATTTTTGTGTGCTCATCTTGTATCCTGCAACTTTGCTTAATTCGTTAATTAGTTCTGAAGTTTTTCTTTATATTCTTCAGAGTTTTATATATATAAAATCATGTCATCTGTGAGTGGAGGTAGATTCATTCATTCATTCATTCATTCCTAATTGCTCTGGCTAGAACTTCCAGTACAGTGTTGAATAGAAATGGGAAAGTGAGTATCCTGCCTTGTTCCTGATCCTAGGAGGGAAGCTTTCAGCCTTTCACCATTGAGTATGAGGTTAGCTGTGGGCTTTTCATATATGTCTTTTATCATGTTGAGGAAATTCTCTTCTATTTCTAGTTTGTTCAATGTTGTTATCATGAAAGGGTGTTGGATTTTGTCAAATGCTTTTTCTGCATCAATTGAGATGATCATGTATTCTGCTCTCATCCCATTCTATTAATTCAGTGTGTTATATTAGTAGGTTATTGTGCACTGAACCACACTTACTATATCCCACACTTACATGGGATGTAGTTTACTCAGTCATGGTATATAATCCTTTATAATGTGCTGCTGGATTCTGTTTGCTACTATTTTGTTGAGGATTTTTACATTTACATTCATAAGAGATATTGTTTTGTAATTTTCTTTTTTTGTGATGTCTTTGTCAAGTTTTAGTATCAGGGTAATGCTGGCCTTATGGAAGAGTCAGAGAGTGTTCCCTTCTCTTCAATTTTTCGGAAGATTTTGAGAAGTATTGGTGTTAATTTTTCTTTAAATGTTTGGTAAAATTCACTAGTGAAGCCATCCGTTCCTGGGCTTTTCTTTGTTGTGAAGTTTTGATTATTGATTCAATCTCTTTACTTGTTATAGGCCTTTTCAGATTTCCTATTTCTTCTAGAGCCAGTTTTGGTGTGTTTGTAGGAATTTGTCCATTCTATCTAGGTTATCTAATTTATTGGCCCTAAGTAGTTGTTGTTAACTAATTAATTGTTTAGTATTCTTCCTATTACTGAGAAAACAGTGTTAAAATCTCTAACCAAGATTGTGAGCATATCTTTCTCTTTTTGGTTCTATCAGTCTTTTTGACTCTGTTATTAGTTGCACACAAATTTAGGATGCTTATATCTTCTGGTAGATTGACCCTTTTATCATTATTAATTGTCTTTCTTTATCTCTAGTAATGTTCCTTGTCTTCAGGTTTATTTTGTCAGATGTTAGTGTGGTTATACTGATGTTCTTTTGTTAGTGTTTGCATTTATACATTTTTCCATCCTTTTCTTGCAAGATTTGCATTCCATTACATTTAAGATTCATCTCTTGTATTATGCATTTAAAAACAAATAAGGCCTGATAATCTTTGCCTCTTAATTTGACTATGTAATGAATTACCAATATATTTGAGTTTAAACGTAACTGGTTACTATATGTTTTTTCTTTCTTTTTTTAATCCTCACCTGAGGATATGTTTTTATTGATTTTTGAGAGAGAAGAAGGAGGGAGAAAGAGAAAATCGATTGGTTGCCTCCAATATGTGCCCTGACCAGGGACCGTGGATCAAACCCACAACATAGATACGTGCCCTAGCTGCAAATAGAACCCCCAACCTGTCGGTGTGTAGGATGATGCTCCAACCAGCTGAGCCACACCAGCCAGGGCAAAATACCCTTATAGCACTTTAACTCCCTTTATCGCCCTCTCACCTTATATACTACTGTCCTCATGCTTGTAACTATTTATCTCTACATTTTATACCCCAGAAAACATTATTATCATTTGCCCAGTCAATATATATTCATTTAGATTTGGCCACCCTTTTTGTTCCTCTTCATTTCTTGCTGCTTCTCCATGCTTCCATCTAGTGTAATTTTTCATCTGTCTGAAGAACTCCTTTGAGCATTTCCTTTCTTAATTTCAGTTTTTAAAGCATGACTGGGGTATTTCCCAGGGCCCCTTGTTCTTGGTGGGTCCTGGACCCCAATTTTTGTTCTCCGGTTCTGTAAGACCACTCGGGTGCTCATCCATTCAGCCACTGCTTGTGCCCTGGCAGGTGCTTCAGGAGGGAAGTTGCTCCGTGTTGGCTTTACCTCTCCGTAGTTCCCTCCTTTGCAGGACCTTCACCCTTGAAGTCCTCGCCTCTTTCATATTTTCCTCAATGCCTTCACCCAGATGTCTTATTCATATTTTATCTGCAATTGTTTCTTCTGAGAGGGTTCATCTGCAACAAGCCAGTCTGTTGTCACTAGGACTGGAAAGCTTGCCTGATTATGTTTTGATTTTGCACTCCTGCCTGATGACTGGGGAATGTTCAGTGTATGTGGAACTCAGACAGTATCATCAGTATCGCCCTATACTTTTTTATTATGAATGCACACATAAATGGCTATATATGCACATATATACATACATGTACATGTAAAATATACACATAAGCCTGTGAAATACACTATATCAAGGCACACATACGATCTTTTTAAGCTTTCGGAAAAGGTGTAGAAAATTCTTGCTTGTCAGCTACATAAAAAGCCTTATATCATTGTTTTCTGAATTACTTCCTGTGGTGTATGAGTGTCCCACGTGATGTTCATAGAATCTCTTGGCTAAAGTGGTGCCAATGTCAATAAATTCAGGAAATTGTCCATGGAATCCTTTCCTTGGAGACATCTAACACATTTAAGCATGTTAAAGACCCTGAAACATGTAAATAAACTTATTTGATTATGAAATCCCTTTTGGATGGAATAGCTATTCCATTGGTGGATAAACCTTGGGAGACACTGCCTTATAGGAAATCTAAATCCACAAAATCCTATACCAATAAGTACTTGGTGTCCAAGAGTCTTCATCTTCACAAAAATGAAATGTCATCCAGTGTTTCCTCAGATGTGGACGCTGCAAGGAGAGTCTGAAAGTGTCAGGTGTTGGGCTTGGAGGGCTGGAGCTCCTTTGCTACTTACTGGGTAAAAAAGAAGGCAGAATTTGGGGTGTACTTATTCCCAGCTTTTTGTCTGTTTGCACCTCCTGGGGGAAAACCATTTGCTCAGGTTCCCTTGGTCCCAGCTGAGCTCAGCATGGGGTAGAGGTGGTGGGAACTGATTTTTGGTTTTCATAAGCCCAAACTCTCCCTCACCTCACCTACCTCTTGGAGGTCTTGCCGCCCCTCTGTACAGGTGAGAGGGTGAGACAGTTGTGACGGAATACACAGAGCAGAAGCTCAGGAGCTAAGAGGCCTGGGTTCAAGTCCTGGTGCTGTGAAACCTTGGGAGAGTTACCCATGGAGTGGCGGGGGAGAGCATGGCCCTCAGTGTCAGAAGCACTCGGCCCTTCCACTTCCTTGCTGTGTGATCATGGACACATCGCCTTCCTGCACCTCAGTTTCCTCACCTGTCAAATGGGGATAGTAATAACAACCACCTCACCTTCACCTTGTTGTGAGAAGGAAACAAGATAATGCATGTCAAGTTCAATACCTGGAACATAGTAGGCACCTGGCAAATGTAAACTATTATAATACTTCATTCAATCCGACTCCATCTGGGTTTGGGGAGAACCCCAACCTCTCATGATGCTTCAGGATCAAATAGAATCTTGAATGTGAAAAAGAGTTTCGTAAACTCTTGGAGACAGAGGGAAGTCCTGCCCTCGACGCTGCCTCATCCCTTCTGGCGGGGCAGGGCCGGTGTGGGGCCACACCCCTGCCCTCACACAGCGCCGTTTCTCCATTACAGAACATTGGCAAGAAGATGTCCTGCCAGCAATTTATTGCCAACTTGGACCAGCTGAATGATGGCCAAGACTTTTCCAAAGACCTGCTGAAGGTATAACCTGCTAAGGGCCCCCATGCCCCGAGCTGCACCAGGGTGGGTGGAGGGGAGAGAGGTCTCTGCCTCATTAAATCCTGATGTTTCAGATCCTTAATACTGGAGTAAGGGCACCACGACTTTGAGACAGAGTTAGAGGTCACCCAGCTGAATGTTCGACTGTCGCGTGTCCCTTGAGTTAGGCAGAGGGGCAGGCTGTGCGAGATTTGTTTTTAGTCCTGCATCCTCATCGCTGCTGTCATGGCAATCATCAATAGTGCCACCAGCGGTCACAGCTGCCGCGGCCATCACCACGGCCTTTGCCATCACCGCCACCGTCAGCTTCACCATGGAGAAAAGCCTGCTCAATCCTTCAATATCACCAGGGATTAAGGGGATCGAGTGTCCTTTTGAGGCTGAAGCTCAGGGTAGAACTCTGGCCTTTCGAACCTGTTCAATTCTTGGCCTTGGAGGAAAAAAAGTAGGGTTTTTTGGTGGAGAGGTAGAAGATGAGTTCAGTTTCAGTGGGTTTAAAGGACCTGGTGATACCATCTGGGCAGCTGGATAGTGAATCTGGAGGTTAAAAAATAGAACATTGTCTTCATCCCTCTCTTATCATAATTTTTTTTTCACCATCAAGGAGCACTTGTTAAGAGTGTGTTTGTGAGATCAAATAATCCCAGCCCCACCGCCCACCCACCTCCCTCTCCCTGTCTGCTTGTTTACCCACCTGCGTAGCCTCCAGTGCATCCATCCTTCCATCCATTCACCTACCAACTCAGCCATACACCCATCGCCCGCACGGACATCCCCTACGCCCTTGAACACGCCGCCTCCACTCCACATCCAGTCATCCATCCGCCATCCACCCATTTCCCCAGCCGTCCACCTACCCACCAGCCCATCTACCCACTCATACTCAAGTCTGTTCACCCAGTCATCTCCCCAGTCATACACGCCAGCCCCCATTCACGCACCTGTCCGACAAACAAGTATGAATCAAACATCCACTTCACCCCGCTGGCTTAAAAGCGCTCCCTCACTGCGTCTACATTGCTAGAGGTAGATGGCGATTTCTTTGATTTTTTTTAATCAGAGCTCCTCTCTCTCTCTCCCCCTCTCCCAGACCCTCTACAACTCCATCAAGAATGAAAAGCTGGAATGGGCCATGTGAGTAGTGCCCATGGCACAGGTGTGGGGAGAGCAAATTGCTGGGAGGGGGAGGGGGAGGGGCTAGGGGCGGGGCTGGGGGGCGCAGAGAAGGCACTCCTGCCACTCTCCATGGTGCTGATTTCTCCCAACCCAGAGCCACGTTGACCCCTGTCCAGCTGGCCATGCACCTGGTGTTGAGTTCCCCTTTGGGGCTTTTCTGTCTTGATAAAAAGCGTGCAGTGTTTACACTGCTATGGAATAGATTGAACTGTGACTTCAGTTCCGTGATAGCCACACTGGTTTTCTGTACTGGGGAAACCGCCGCTATTCCTAAATGATGGTAACTCTTTCCCCTTTGGGAGGCAGGCAGTCAGGAGGCATGGGTCCCCCTAAGACCCCAAGAATATGTCCATGTTTAGGTGGCAGTTGTTCTTGGCAGTGGGGAGGGGTGACTGCCCCCTAACCTCTTCCCCTGTGAAGGCAGTGAGTCCTGGACGTGCCCAGCCATTTGGAAAGGGGTGTGGTGACCTTGCTAGTTGGCGAGACTAGCAAGGTCATGTGTATGTGCCCAGCTAAATGGTGAGGACGACCAGCTGCTGCTAATGGCCCGGGCCAGCTGACTCTAGGATTCTCTAGCTCCGTGGCCATTAGCTCTGGAGCTGGCCGCTTTATTTCTGCTTGAAAACCCAGGTCTTGCTTGGGAGCTGGGACAGAAGGGAGCTCCCTACACAGATGAGGCTCCGGGGCAAGTGGCCGCCCTGCCCTGCCGTGCTCCCCAGGGCAGCCTGGGGCTTTGGATCTGTGCGGAGGTCCCAGGCGGAGATTGGTAGAATCTCAGCCCCATGGGGAAGAGCTGGCATTCTCCTACCAAGGCTCAGAGGGGGTCCTCATCTGCTGGCTGCCCTCCCTCAGCAAGTGTGTGGTGCTTGGGCAGCAGCTTCTGTCTGGCCATGAGTTACTGATGGCTGGAGCTGGGTTTTCAGGGTTGGAGACAGGAGAAGGAAGAACCTGAATGAGGTCAGGAGATAGCAAGGTCTCCAACTTTGTGATCAAGGGTGAGGATTAGAGCTTGGAGGTGAAAAATCAAAGATCAGAGGTCAGAACTGAAGACTTGAGGGGAGGAGTCAAAGATCTGGAACTGTGATCTGGAATTGGAACCTCCTCTTCTCTGCTTTTCACCTCGACTGGCTTCCAGAGGAGTGGTTGGTGGGGAGAGGGCATGCCAATGCGGGGCTGATGCCTCCCTGGAGGTGGTACTCAGGCCTGGTACTTTCCCAGCGATGAGGATGAACTGAGGAAATCCCTGTCGGAGCTGGTGGATGACAAGTTTGGGGCCGGCACAAAGAAGGTGACACGGATCCTGGATGGTGGCAACCCCTTCCTGGATGTCCCACAGGCTCTCAGTGCTACCACCTACAAGCATGGAGTGCTGACTCGGAAGACTCACGCCGACATGGATGGCAAGAGGAGTGGGTGTCCGGCGTGGGAAGCGGGTGGGGAGGGATGCTAGTCCAGATGGCGTCCACTCCCTTTTGCCGCCCCTCTGGGGATGCACACGCAGGTCGACGTGTGAGGGGAGCAGGGGAGGAGGAGATATGGGGTGGATGGCTGTGGCCACACTACCTGTGCCTCGTCTGCAGCGCCCCGTGGGAGGCGTGGCTGGAAGAAATTCTACGCGGTGCTCAAGGGGACCATCCTGTACCTGCAGAAGGTGAGAGGCTGCTTCAGTGTCCTTACCCACAAACAGCCAGCTCGTTCCCCATCGACCCCTTGCGTTGTGGTGCCCAGAGGGTCCTGGGTAGGATGCTGGGTCCTCCCCAGTCAGGGGACTGACTGGAGCTCGAGAGGGGTCCTTTAAGTGCCCAGGAGCTCAGAGGATACCCAGTGTAAGGGCTGTTCAGGCTTCTAGGATAAACTGGGGTGCAGGGAGGGGTGCCTGGTGTGATTCTAGTTGAGCCCGGCAGGGCAGCACAGTGGCAGGAGTTGACAATGGAGGGAGCTATGTTGACGGAGGGAGGGAGAGCGCGAGGGAGGGGAGGGCGGAGGGAATGTGGGTCTGTAAGCCAGGGCCTGGCCATGACAGAGGTTGCCCCCGCCTGCCCGTCCAGGATGAGTACAGGCCTGACAAAGCTCTGTCTGAGGGTGACTTGAAGAACGCCATTCGCGTGCACCATGCTCTGGCCACCAGGGCCTCCGACTACAGCAAGAAGTCCAATGTGCTCAAGCTGAAGACAGCCGACTGGAGGGTCTTCCTGTTCCAGGCACCGTAAGTAGGAGTGTCTGGAACCCCTCGCGCTCCCCGGCCTCAGGGCCTGGAGCCTGTGCTGCACCCCTCTTCTCATCTGCCCCTGCTTCTGGGGAGGTGCCCTCAGCTCCCCGCCTCCCATGAGTACGTGCGCTCGGCACAAACCGACAGCAGGGTCCCCCGCAGGGATGGTTCTCCAAGCGTGGTCTCCTCAGCGTCTCCTGGAAACTTGGTAGGAATGCAGTTTCTCTGGCCCCACCTTAGACCTGCTGAATCAGACTCTCTGGGGATGGGCCAGCATCGGGCTTTAACAGACCCTCCAGGTGCACGCTGAACTCCCCACACATGGGGCAGATGGAGTGGAGGAACCATCCTTCCCCTTCAGTAGGGGAGGGGGGAATGGATGGGGAAGACTCGCCCTCCAGTTTCTCTGTAAGGCCTTCCATCCACTGCCCTGTACCCCATCCTGTGACTTCCTGTTTCCTACGGGAGAGGCTAGTAGACAGCTCTCAGGGTGGGCGTGTATGTGCCCGGCTAAATGGTGAGGACGACCAGCTGCCGCTAATGGCCCGGGCCAGCTGGCTCTAGGATTCTCTGGCTCTGTGGCCATTAGCTCTGGAGCTGGCCGCTTTATTTCTGCTTGAAAACCCAAGTCTTGCCTGGGAGCTGGGACAGAAGGGCGCTCCCTACAGAGATGTGACCAGGCCTCCCCAGCCCTCACCCTGCTTCCCCCCTCACTCCTTTGCCCCCCTACATGGAGGCATTTGTGCTCTCTGTGCCAGGCTCATGCTGGGTACTGGGGGTTGGGTCCAGAAGAGGGAGCCCTATTTTGAGAAACCAGCACTCTTTCCCCTCCCATCCTGTCCCCAGGAGCAAAGAAGAAATGCTGTCCTGGATCCTTAGGATCAACCTGGTGGCTGCCATCTTCTCAGCCCCGGCCTTCCCAGCTGCTGTCAGCTCCATGAAGAAGTTCTGCCGGCCCCTGCTGCCCTCCTGCACCACTCGCCTGTGCCAGGTACAAGCGCCCGGGGTCACAGCTCCGCCTCCCCAGGGCCTGCCGCACGCCACGCCACGCCACCCCGTTCCACTGCCCTCCCCTCCGCTCCTGCACAGCGTCCTGGGCTCAGAGACAAGGCAAAGGGGCAGAGATATTCTCTTCCACCCCCACTGCACCCCAGTCCCTTTACAGATGGGAAGACTGAGGCCACGTACCACACGGGCCCGGCAGCGCTGTGGCGGGGTGGCATGGGTGCGCTTCTATCCCAGTGGCGGTGCATCCTGTGGGCGAGATGGTGGGTCTGTGGGCATCATGTATGTTTGGGCATGGGTGTGAGAAAATGTGTGTGTCATAGGGAGCCAGGGATAGGGAGACTCAGCTGACCCTTCGTCCAGTCGTCTACCCTTGAATGTGTTATTGTAATCCTAAAAAAACTCCAATTCATCCGTACTCCAATTTTTCAGGGGTTTTTTTTTGTTTGTTTGTTTTGGGGGAAAGGCTAAATGGGGGACCACTACTGGGGAGGAAGAGGGCAGGAGGAGCTTCTCCCTGCCTTGGCCGCTGCTGGCCCTTTTCCTGCTGGCCCTTGTCCCAGGTCTCTCTGCTGAGCTCCTTGGGCTGCTGCCTCTGCCCAGAGCTCCTGCACATTCCCACTCAGTGCACACACACCCACACCGTACACGTGTTCACATCCGTGCACACACATGCACCCAGCCCAGGTCCACATAGCACAAAGCGGTGTGGCTGTAGAGTGGTGGGTGGGATGTGTGCCTGCTCTTGTCTGTGTGACAGTGTCTTTGCCTGTCTTTTGGTGTCGTCCTGGGTCTGCAACCATCATGTGTGTCTGGCATGAGTGTAAAAGAATGTGTGCGTCGTACAGAGTCAGGGAGAGCCGAGACCAGGCCGCCCTTGGTCCAGTGTGTTTGTGTGCACGCGTGAGAGTCCAGGTGAGCGGGGGTATGCCTGGGTGACTGTGTATCTATGTCAGGGAGTGTCTACATGCACTCCAAGCAGGAGGGTCTCTCATCTCCCAAGCCTGCTGGGAGGTATCTAGGAGAGCTGATGCCACCGAGAGCAAGGAGCGGGGAATAAGGTGGCGCACACCAGCACATCCAGAGCCTGGCCCTACCCCGCATAGCGATGACCCTGGACAGTTCTCAGTTTCCTCGTGGCGAAGCAGATCCTGGCAGGACAGGGTTAGACGCACTCTATGACATCCCGAGTTGGACCTCACAGCCCAGGACTTGTCTCTGCAGGAGGAGCAGCTGCGTTCTCATGAGAATAAGTTGAGGCAGGTGACTGCAGAGCTGGCCGAGCACAGGCGTCACCCAGTGGAGAGGGGCCACAAATCCAAGGAGGCGGAGGAGAGCCGGCTGAAGGAGCACTATCTCACGTTTGAGGTGGGCCCCCTGGGGGACAGACTGTGAAGGACAGGGCTGGGCCCAGAGGAGGCCAGCTCCCATCTTTCCCCTCCCCCCACCAGCATCATTCTTTAGCCCGGAGCTCCTAGTTTGGGGGTTCCCCGCTTTGGCGGCTCCCCTGAGGCAATCATGGACCATGCATGGCCTCCTGTGGGACTGGTCTGCACAGTCCGGCTGTCATTTGTTGAACAATTGTGCCCTCCCTTGTGTCTCTCAAAGAGCACTAGCAGGGCTCCACCAGACACCCCCCCATCCCCCAGCCCCCTCAGTCTTCTCCAAGCCCCTCCTCGCCTCCATTCCCACAGGCCCAGCTTCTCCGGAAGCTTCCCCAGCCAAGAGATAGAGCGCGCAAGCCCTATCCCTGTGACTCTCCCGCCTTTATCTCGTTTCCTCTTTCCCATGTTTCTTAAGCAGAGCAACTTAGTCTCTCCTTCTAAGCTCTCCCTTCCCTCCATCTTGTCTCTCTCTGTCCACTACCCTGATTCTGCCTCACGATGCTTTGCAAATGCAGCTGACTGAGTATTGCCTTTGTTGGGTGAAGGATGGGGGTTGGCTTGGGGGAGGAAGGCGGAACCAACCCCTTGTCCATGTTGGACCGGCCTTTGGACTGCCCTGCACATGGGAGTGGACAGACGGAGAGACAGGCGGGGACTGAACTAGGAAGCCTCCAGAGCAGGAAGGGCAGGTAGTCAGCAATCTCAGTCTCCAGATTTCCACACTGATTTTCTGTTGAGGTTTCAGGGAGGGTGGAGCGTTCCCAGGCTAGATCCTGGCCTTTTGAATAACATGAAGCTTTGTAGCTTTTGAAAGTCTTCTCAGAGCCACTCTGCCGCAACCTAAAAATGGTGGTGGCAAATGCTACAGCGGACTGATCTCTTGTAAATTGCCGGGTGTGATTTTTATCACTTGCCTTGCATTAATTGATTCAATCCTTATATCAGCTCTGTAAAATGAGTTCTGTTATTATCCCCATTTTACAGACAGGGAAACTGAGGCTTGGAGAGGTCAGATCCCTTGCCTGAGGTGACAGAGCAAAGCAGCTCAGGAGCCAGGCTCCTCGCCCCAGGGCCAGATTCCTAGATTGTAGCTGCACTGCCCTGGTCTTTCTCACTCTGCCTGGCTTGACTAGCGCAGGAGGGGAGGTGGTTGGGGAGGGCAGGTGAAACCCAGCAATGAAGGGCCTTTTCATGTGCAGAAGCTGGGCAAGCACAGAGCTCCCTGACTCTTACTTCCCGCTTGTTCCAGGACCCCAGCCTCCCCCGGCTGTGGTGAGGCCTGAAGCTCAGTGTCAAGGCCCTCAGACGCTGTCAAGCCTCCCTCCTAAATGTTTACTAATTCACAAGCCATTTAGTAGCTTGTGAATTTACCTCGCTCTGCCTGCGCTCACCAACACTGGCCATTATTGAATGTTTTAATCTTTGCCAACCCGATAGGTTTAACAAGTGGTGTCTTACTGCTATTTTAATTTGTATCAAAAAATTTTAAGTGTGGCAAAATACACATAGCATAAAATTTACCATTTAAAATGAATCTTAATCATTTTAAAGTGCGTGGTTCAGTAGTGTTAGGTCTATTCACACTCTGGTGCAACCAACCTCCAGAACTTTTTCATTTTCCCAAACTGAAACTCTCTTCCTATTAAACACTCCTCAACCCACCCCTACTCCCACCCCCGGCCTCTGGCAACCACAGCTCTACTTTCTAGCTCTATGAATTTGACTCCTCTAGGTACTTCATATAACTGGAATCACACAGAACTTGAGTTTTTGTGACTGGCTTACATCACTTAGTGTAATATCCTGAAGGTTTATCCATGTTGTAGCACATGCGAGAATTTCTTTCCTTTTTAAGGCTGAGTAATATTCCATTGTATATACATATCACATTGTGTTTATCCATTCTGCTGGATGTTTGGGTTGCTACCAACTTTTGGCTATTGTGAATAATGCTGCTATGAACATGGGTATGCATGCTTTCGATTTTGGGGGATATATCCCTAGAAGTGGTATTGTTGGGTCATACAGTAATGTTATTTTCTGATCTTTTGAGATCAGAAGGTTAAAAACCACAGTGGTTAAAAACCACTTTACATTCCCATCAACAGTGCACAAAGGTTCTAATTTCTCCATATCCTCACCGATACTTGGAATTCTCTGGTGGGTTTTTTTTCTCTCTTATACTAGCCATCCTAATGGGTATGAGGTAGATCATTATGGTTTTGATTTTCATTTCCCTAATGATTAGTGATGAACATCTTTCATGTGCTTATCAGCTATTTGTATAACTGGAGAAATTTCTATTCAAGCCCCTTGTCCATTTTTTTGACTGGGCTCTTGGTAGGAGTTTTTTCTTTTTTTAAGATTTTATGTATTTATTTTTAGAGAGAGGAGAAGGGAGGGAGAAAGAGAGGGAGAGAAACATCAATGTGTGGTTGCCTCTCACACACCCCCTACTGGGGACCTGGCCTGCAACCTACGCATGTGCCCTGACTGGGAATCAAACCTGCAAGCCTTTGGATCTCAGGCCAGAGCTCAATCCACTGAGCTACACCAGCCAGGGCTCTCCCACTCTTTAGATTGCCTTTTTACTCTATTGATTGCGTCCTTTGATACACAAAAGTTTAAATTTTTGATGTAATCCCATTTGTTTATTTTTACTTTTGTTGCCTGTGCTTGCCTATTTTTTTTTTTATTGGGTTGTTTATCTCCTTTTTATTGATTTGTGAGAGTTCTCTGAACATTAAGGAAATTATTCTTTTGTCATCTAAGATGCAAATAGTTTTTCACATTTTGTTGTCTTTTGACTTTGTTTCTGGCCTTTCTCTGCTCTTTTCCTAGAAAAGCCGTTATGAGACCTACATCCACCTCCTGGCTATGAAAATCAAAGTGGGCTCAGATGACCTGGAGCGGATTGAGGCCCGGCTGGCCGCCCTGGAAGGGGATGACCCTTCCCTCCGAAAGACACACTCAAGCCCTGCCCTCAGCCAGGGCCACGGAACTGTGACTGGCAGCAAAGCCATGAAGGATGCCCCTGGAACTGATACTTAGCTGGCATGGATGGGCAGGCCCCAGAGGCAGGCAAATGCCCCCGGAGGGGTTAGAGAGCACAAGTCCAGCCAGGGGCCACTTGGACCAGCTCCATGCAATTGGCGGGCAGCCAGAGGGGTGCGGAGAGCCCCGAGGGCCAAGGACATGGAGATGCTCTTCATGGCATTGATTTTACATCCTGGGGCTTCTCTGGACCTCATACCCTCTCACCGGCCCTTAAATCCCTCTCCACCGTGGAGCCTCATTTTGTAGGCCGGCTGTGTGCATGTTCTAGATACCATCTCACTGGTGGAGCAGAAAGGGCAGTTGACTTCTGAGGCCCTTGTCTTCTTACAAGTTCTTCCCTCATCTCTGTTGTTTCTGAGGGCAGGTCTTGACTCCAGGACTCACCTTGGACTCCCACCCTTTCTCCCCTCCGTCCTCTGAATTGACCAGCAGCAGGTCTGCAGACCACCAGCACTATCCTCTCTCCTTCCACCCATCAACCTCCGGAATCACACGCTGTTCTCCCTGTCTCACATCACAACAATCCGGGACTCTCCATGCCAAGCTGTCTCTGCCCACGTGTGCGTCCACCTCACCTTCCATCCATTGAGGCCACTACTGCTTTCTTTTATATGAACAGAAATGTATATATATAGGAATTATATATATCTATATATATATATAAGGACCCCCTTTAAAGATGGTTTTGGAATTGTGTTATCAGTTAGATGATGAAATAAGATAAAGGAAAAGCCTCATTCAGGGCTGCTATCTGGCCCCCTGGTGGCCCCGACACCCCGGGAGGGAAGGCAGAGATAGTGCCGATCTCCTCTCGCTCCCTTTTTTCCCTCCTCCGGCTGACCTGTGACTTATGTTGCTCTTACAGTTGATGTTTTGGAATAAATAGACAGTGTGTGTGTGTGCGCGCCACCCCATCTCTCCCACAGGTATCAGTCATGGTGTGAATGGGATGGGACCGTGGCTCTGTTTATTTTTTGGTCTTTATGTTGGTGCTGCCAGGTCTCTGAGCTCCAGAGGTGGCCTCTTGTTCAGATCTACTGTTACAGGAATAAAAGGCACTCTGCCTTGCAAATAGCCACTTGTCAACAAGCCCAAAGATGTTTGGTGGCGGAAGGTAATGGAAGCCGTTAGTCCCTGGTCTTGGGAGAAGGTGAAATGACAAGTTGCTGACTTTTTTAGGCCGATATTTCTTTCACTCTTCTAGTGACTCAGACATGCTAAGGACACGTCTGGGAAGAAAGAAATTTGCCACACGATGATCACAAACTAGCACCCTTTAAACGCTGCACTCAGACAATTGGTGGGGCTGAAGGCACCCTCAGTGCAGGTGCGATGAGTAAACCCTTTCTAATTTTTAAACAGATTACTGTAGTTTGGTCAGCAATTTGACCTCACTGGTAACATATTTCATTAATAACTCAACCTTGGGACTAAGCACCCAACATTTATAAACCCACTCACATTTGATGCAGGGTACATGTGAGTCTATGAAGAGATGTAGTGAGTTAAATCCAGATTATTTAAGTTGGATCAATTGAAGTGTATTTTACATTCAAACCATCTGGCCCCTTCATTTTGCTGAGGGGAGTTAAACGGACATTTAAGTGAAATTGAAAGAGCAGTGTGGCAATATAGAGAACTGTCTGTACTTTCCCCATACTGTCTCAAAGGTCATTTGATTTTTGGGGTCAGCTTCCCATTGTCCATCTCCTGAGGGCAGGTGAGTGAAAGCAGAGGAGCAAGGCCTCTCTGCTGCCGACAGATGTGCTTCCCTGAGCACTAGTTGTGCCTCCCAGCAGTAAAAAAAAATTTTAGTTCACGTTCTTAATTGTATCATTATTTATTGTAAATTATATACATGTACTCCTGTACTAAAATATTATGTACATTATAAAACATACACAAAAATAGAAATTTAAAAAAGATGAGATGAAAATAAATCTAAATCAAAGTTCTAATATTCTTTCCTGCATTCTAATGGACCATTATGTTCACCACACAACTGCTGCCCCTAAAGTAATGCCCATTTTCCAGGACTGTCCAAATCCAGGGGCTGGAGAACCCCAGGTGAGATGCCGTAAGTGGTTGCGCCACCTATTGGTTCTGGGAGGTGGCCGCAGCTCAGAGACTCCTGGAGGCTGGCTCCTTGACAGCTGAGCATTCATCCTCTCATTCAATGAAAGTCAACAGTGCTGCGCGTTGTGCTGGGTGCTGGGGATGCTGTGGGGAAAAAAGTATTGAGCAGCTACCTGTCCACATGGGGCTCACAGTCTAGAAAGGAGGAAGACAGGCAGTCACCATCCCCCTTTGGGACTCTGGGAGGGCTAGGAAGACAAGCAAAAAACGACCTGGCAGAGAGAAGAACGAATTGGAGGAGCAGGGAAAAAGACGGTTCAGGAAGTCACCCGAATGTCCTAAGTGCTCCTGAGGACAGAGTGATAGTAAGGAAGTCACTTAACTGGACTACACCTCTTCCTGACAAGCCATACTAAAGATGGCCCTGCATAGAAATTCGAGAGGCAGAGCAGAGAAGTGCCTCTCTGGCCACACCTGCTCCCAGGTCCCTTTCACACCTGTGAAATGAATGCGTGGCTGCAATGATGAGAAAAAAGTCAAGGTTTTGACCTTAGACTCTCAGCAGGTATCCTAGAATCCAGAGCAGATAATGAAGGCACCAAATAGGGTCATGTGAAGGCGAACAAGTTTATCAGTTATTCAGAATTACTTAGGGTCGCATAGAGATTGGTAGGTTCTGACTGAAAGTTTAGAAGGTAACAGCAACTAGGCCCTCAGAAGGGTCAATTGAGAACACTGAATGGGGTCATGAAGAAGTCAATGGGTTCACCAAGAGTTCATTCCTAATTAGTTGGGGTCATGAAAAGGTCAATGGGTTCACCAAGAGTTCATTCCTAATTAGTTGGGGTCATGTAGAGGTCAACGGGTTCATTGGGGTCATGGAGGTGGTTTCTGACTAAAAGTTTAGAAAGTAACAGCAACTTCTTCTCAGAAAGGTTAAATGAGGACACTGAACGGGGTCATGGAGAGGTCAACGGGTTCACCAAGAGTTCATTCCTAATTAGTTGGGGTCATGAAAAGGTCAATGGGGTCACCAAGAGTTCATTCCTAATTAGTTGGGGTCATGTAGAGGTCAATGGGTTCATTGGGGTCATGGAGGTGGTTTCTGACTAAAAGTTTAGAAAGTAACAGCAACTTCTTCTCAGAAAGGTTAAATGAGGACACTGAACGGGGTCATGGAGAGGTCAATGGGTTCACTGAGAGTTCATTCCTAATTAGTTGGGGTCATGAAAAGGTCAAGGGGTTCACCAAAAGGTCATTCCTAATAACTTGGGGTCACATAGAGGAATTACTGGCTTTTAGAAAATTTAAAAGCCAACAGCAAACTCGAAGCCAGTAGAGGGATCTGAATGAAAATATCAGATGGGGGTCAGTGATTTGCAGGTTTATGTAGCATTTAGTTCATTATTTTTGTTTCTTTGTAATGTGTTTATTTTTCCAGTGACCCACAATGAATACAATGACTTTATTATTTATTTTTCTCCATAACCTTCCTTTCATTCAGGTTTTGCCGTTCTGTGTGATTTAAGAATGCAAGGCACAGGATGTCCTCATCACCATCATCAAATGAGCTATTAACAGGCGCCTACAGGCATACCTCATTTTATTTCGTGTTGCTTTATTGTGTTTCACAGATGTTGCATGTTTTATAAATTGAAGGCCAGACCCTCCACCAGCAAAAAGTTTATGACTTGCTTTGTTGCAAGACTTGCTTTATTGCAGTGGTCTGGAAGTGAGTCTGCCATATCTTTGAGGTATGCCTTTATCACGTGCCAGGAGCTGTACTGGGTGCTTTATGTATGTAACTTCCACAATAGCCCTTGGAAGTATTAGCATCACCGTTTCAGTCAAGGGAACTGCAGCCTAGAGAAATCACACAGCTAGTGAAGGGTGGAGAACGGAATTTGAACTCAGGCTCTGTTGATACCTAAGTTCTCTCCATCCTCAATCTCTGTCCCTCCCATCTGTAAGGCCTCAGAACTGTCCAGACACACCCCGGGGGCATTTGAATGCATGCACACACAAGTCAAACACCTGAGCAATTTGGATAGAAGACTTCCTCATTTGGGCTGGAACCTAATGGCTCCTGGTGCTGGGCACTGGTTTAATAAATTAATCAATGAGGGCAAAGGCTTCTTAACCCTGGACCTCCTCTGCCTTCTCCGTGCCTGAAATCATGTACTCTTCATCAGGGACTACGGGTTTAGACAAGCCCTAGCTCTGAGGGGTCTACAGTTGGGCAAAGTGTAACACCCTGTGGGCTTACAAGCTGCAGCAGCTGTGGTCTTCCTGGCAGCTGAGGGTACCCATTATCCACCTTGCATGTCCAGACTTTGCCGGTGACAGGCCTGAGGCCCCAAGGGTCATCTTGCCTCAGCTGCCCCAGTGCCAACCCCACAATCCTTCCCTCCTCACCCGCCTCGGCCTGGAACAGCTGCCTCAGTCCAGCTCCTGTAGCTCCGGGGCAGGAACTGGGCCAGGGTTCTGAGGCTGAGCTTGAAGCAGACTAATTTGCATCAGCCCCTTGGCCAGGTTCCCCAGCAGCCAGAGGGGATACCTTGTGAATGTTCTTGGAAGAGGGAGGAGGGCTGGAGCCTGTCCTGGGAACTGGAGCCAGGGAGATTGGAGGGAGTGTCTTTTCCTCCCAGGGATTACCCTGGCCCTCTCCAACTTCCACACCATCATCCATCCATCTCCACCCCAGGTCTTCATCCTCTGTCTGCTCTCCTCACCTAGGGGCTAGGCACACACAGTCAAACATGAGTTATTTCTGATTTTATTTATAATATAAAAATGTTCAAGTGTCAACAGTCAGGTGTTTGGACAATTCAGGACAGGGTTCCCATTTGTTTGGGATATCTTTTAAACAATTATCTTTTGACAAATTAGCAGTGGACCCAGTTTTGCGGGGCGGGGGGGAGTGGGGAGGACGGGGCTGGAGAGGGAGTGGAAGTCATAGGTGGGTTGGAGGCTGGGAGTTGGACTGAGAAGGAAATGGTGTTACTTTATTGCTAAAAGGGGATCAAATAGACTGTCCAGTGGCTCTTCTCGGTCCCAGCGTGACCATGCATCCAATCTAAAGAATCTGAAATGCAAAGGACATGCAGGCGTAAAATAGAAAAGACGACCTGTAAACGAAGGTGCTGCAGAGGACGAGGGGCGTCCTGGAGGCCATGGGGGAGGAGGAGCCTCGAACATTGGGGCCCTGGCAGAGCTGCCCCCTCCCTGGGGTGGGGACTGTTGGGAAGACCTGGTTCTCAGTGCCCCCCTCCTTTAGCAGCTGTGAGGAGTGGGGAGGCCCCCTCCCCATTCAGGTTGCTGTCGCTGGGCCTTAGTCTCCCTCTGGACGTGACCTGACCCAACTCTAGCTCCAAGCCTAGGATCCCTAGTCTTTCTTCAGAGGACCCAGGACTCGAGATCTTGCAAGGGGGCAAAGGGCCAATCCATCACTGCCCGGCACCTCGCCCCCTCCCCCAACCCCGCAGCCTCTTCTCTGCCCCTTTTCTCTCATCCCCACCAGCTTGGGATCCTACATGCCCCCCACCCCCACCCCACAACCCAGACTTTTCTCCAGGAGCTCCAGATTAGCGTACAGCAAAAGGCACCACAATATAGGTTTCTATTAAAGAGTCAAAAAATTGGCCCATCTCTCTTTTTTTTTGTTGTTTCTTTTTTTTTTCCGAAGCTGTAAATCAGGATGTTACATATAAATAGTTTCCCTATAAAAACGTCTTTGCCGTTAGCTAGTATTATAAGACAATTTTTGCTAAAATGAAAATAAAACATTTTGTTATACCTTTTTCCTTTTATAGAAAATAAAAATATTTTTATTTCTTTTTTTCCTCCTTTCTCCAGTCGGTGGTCTCCCTTCTCCTTAAAGACAGGGGAGGGGGGAGGGCGGGCCCTAGAGGGGCGCCGAGTCCTGCTTGGCCCGCGCGGGCGGCCCGCGGCTGTGTCTGCTGCTGGCCTGGGTGCTGTGGCTTTCCAGGGAGTAGTAAGTCCTGCTGTCCGCCGCCCCGCACAGTGGCGGCGAGTCCGAGCGCAGCGCCTCGTGCCCTGCGCGCAGGCCGAGGAAAGGCGTGCTCTCCGCTGCCAGCGCCCCATCCGCGTCGTCCTCGTCGTCGTCCGAAGCTGAGGCCGAACCGCCTCCGGAGCCGCTGCTCAGCGACAGCGAGTCCCGCGCCGCGCGTGCGCGCTGCGCCGCCAGCCCGTTGAGGCGTGAGCGGCGCCAGCGCCGGGGCCCCGCCGACGTCCTGCGGGACGCACCGCGAGCGCGCGGGGGCGGTGGCGGCGGCGGGGGCACGCACTCCTGCGTGGTCTCATACTCGTCGTCCTCCGGGATGCGGAAGGGGCTGGCGGGCAGGCTGCCCAGGCTGCCGCCCAGAGCGCAGGCGCCACGCCGCGGCCCCGGCCCCACCGCGGGGTAGTAGTAGCTGTCGTAGCTGCGCTGCATGTCGGCGCCGGGCCCGGGCTCGGGGGGCGCCGGGTGCCGCAGGAGCGGCTGCTGCTCTGCCAGGCGGTAGCTGATGGGCGCGGCCGGCGGCAGCGACACAGCGTGCGCAGAGTTGGGGGACGTGATCTCGAAAGTTGGCACCTGCGTGGCCAGCGAGTAGTGGAAGTCCACCGGGGAGAGGCGTGCAGGTGTGGTCAAGGCCGACACGTATCTGCGGGGAGAGGCGAAAGTGTGGGCTTGGGGCCCAGAGGCTGGGGCGGAACAGATCATGCACGCCTGCGAGAACTATGGGGGTACTCCTCAGTGACCTTAAGCAATTGCCTTAACCTTTCAGAGCCTCATTTTCCATATCTGTTAAGCGGGGA